TAATGGTGTTCATCTCAGAACTTTAATGTTCACTTCTTAATATTATATTGCTCATATAAATTATTGTATTTAATCTCAATATAATTTATAATTTAATTTCTGAAAGCATTTTTTACTTTGAATTTGTATATTCTGTAAGTGCTCTAGTGAAAAAATATTTTTACTTTGTTTTGATTTTGGTTATTTATATTTTTATTGTCATATTATTGTTGTACTGGAGGTACATTGTGACATTTATAAAAGTTCTTACAATCTATTATAGTTGAATTCACCTCCTCAATCATTATCCTTTATCCTCCCCACCCCCCATTCCTGGAACAGTTTTAACAGCTCACATTTTTCCATTTTCATACATGACTACATGATATTTACACCACATTCACCCTCTTACACCCTTTCCTTATATCTTTCTCCTTCCTACTGGTACCAACCCCCTTTATAGAGGGTATTGGTTGTTTTTGTACCCAGGTATATATTCTGTTTTCTAAAAACTAATAACTAATCATCATCAAAGGATCATAAGACTGGCTTAGTCCAGAGAGGGAAAGGACTGGATTGTTATTTTTTGAGGGTGCATTTTTCACTTAATTCCTATTGACTTCCATACTGACCTCTGCAGTATTCAGTGCTTCTGGGTGTAGAGTATTTTATCCAACAAGGTTGGGAAAGAGGTAATTCCCCCTGAATGAGGTGTGGGCAGAAATCTAGAATCAACTTGCTCCTCAAAAGACTTTTATCTTTTCAACTTCACATCTCACAAATCTTGCTGCCTTAGTTTTATTGAGTCTTTTCTGTGTTTTCCCTGAAGCACAGTGAGAGAACTGTCCATGCTACAATTTACAATGGGAGGGTCTTAAGGATGTGATCACTATTGGAAGTTCATAGTAGAGGTTCTTTTGAGTCTAAGTGGCCAACCTTTTGTGAGCCTGTTCCCTGGTGCATAGGGTATGGCTATGAGCCATCAGCGGCTAGGGGGTCAGCAAGTGCACTCTGGGAGCAAGGATCTGGGTGGAGCATGGCAACATCAACTATGTAGATAGGCAGAGTCCAGACCTAAAGTATCTCACACAAATGTATGGCCTATTTTAAATGTATGTTACAAACAATTGTGAACTATTAAAAATTTTTCATTAGGGATAGAGGTGATGAAATTTGTATGCTAGAAAGATCTTCTAAGGAGCAGGGTAAGGGTAGAAAAAAGTATGAAAATGTACTTAGGGAGACCAGTTAGAAGGCAATGGCAATAGTGCACAGATTTAAGATGAAGACCTGAAGTACAGATGTCGTAGCTGAAGGGTAGATCACTAGGTCATAGAATAAACACAATTCAGAGGGTTTCTGGGCCGTCCAGATGAATTGTCAAGAGGAACTGGAGATAACCCTCAGTGGTGGCTACAGGGATCAGCGATTAGGTAACCATGATTTATTTAACAAAAATTGGCAATATAGGAAGAGACCCTGCATTACATGGATTCAGGTTGAACTCACAATGAGGTTGGGAGGATAGAAAGGCCATAAATGTCATCTGACGATGGATCCAGAATCCACACTGTCACCTGCATAAATGTATTATTCACACTGTGTGTCATTTTAAGCTAATTTATTCACACATAATACATATTGAGCTGATGATATATATTGGGCAATGTTTTCCATCATGGCAGAAAAGGTGTGAAAGTATGTGTTTTACCTGTTAAACTAGGAATGGTAAGGTATCAGATGGGTTTTTCATAATCTTGTGAATAGAGAGAGGAAATAGGCTGATGCCAGCCAACTCAACCCCCTAGTAAGTAGCAGGGTTTTGCATTCAGGCTGTTCTGATTAAGAGACTGGACTGTCTTGGAGGAAGATTTTACCTAAATGTGGTCCTTGGACCAGCTTTTCCAATTACTTTGTGAATTATTTGGCTAATGATACAGAAGTGTCCTCATCATATTTACTTTTGGGAGTGTGGAAGAAATATGAAATATGTATCCACAGTGATTTTTACTGTCTGGATAAAAGAGCTGAGATGAGGTGAAATTAAACAAAGACAAGTTTGTATTCTATGGAAAATACACTTGTACCTGCCCATAATTGGGGCATTGTGGAAATCAAAAAACACAATGTGATCTTCAGTTTTGTTACTAGAAACATAGTGTGTGAAACAGGTATGCTGAAAGCACTGATTTTGTACGCCAACACTTCCTTTAACAATCTCAATTGTGTTGCTCATACTTTACAAAAGGCATTCATATCAGACAAAACAAAAACACTCAGAAAGTTAGAGCAATGGAGGCTTGAAGTTAAAATATACAAGGAACAGGTAAAGGAAATGTGAAGGCTTATCTTTAAGAAGTGTAGAATTATTTTGAGAATAATAGGACAGAGGAAAACATTAATATGTCTTCAAATGTTTGAATCAAGCCTAGTGACCAGGATATTATATTAAATGACCTTTTGTAGTAGACTTGGATCCAAGGGGTGAAGACTGTAGAGCAGCTCTCAGAAAAGGGTGTGCAACCCTTACTTTTGTTTTCGCACCAAATCTATCTAATAACTTGGCAGGTATGTTGTTTGTGGCCAAGAAATTTGATTTTAAACAAGAAGCCTTAAAAAAAGTTCTCTTGAAACCTGTAATTTTATGATTTTTGTAGTCATTGAAATTAAGGTCTGCATTCAAGAACTAAGACATTTTCAATCTCTTTGAGTCTGGGTCCACATACACCAGTTCCTTGTGTATCCAGCTCAGTGCTGTGTCTCCTGAACTGACATGGGGTCTTCACAGTCAGGAAAAATGAAGAATTCAAGGTGTCCTGCGCATGTGTTCTGGAGCTTCTTCAAACTAGTAGAGGGGAGGTAGTAGGTATTTCCAAAGCATTTGATAGTTCAGCAGGGAAACAATTATTAAAAATTTTAAAGCTATTCTTTTATTTTGGTAGAGTTTCTGTGGATCTAAGACTTCCTACCAAGTTACTAGATCAGACACAATATAACTTTTTCAACTTGCTGGGAATATTATTTCTAAAACACAGTAACATAATGATCCAAACATTTCAATTCTCAGTCTGTCTTTACCTCATAGCAAATGTAAAGGTAATATTCCTTGGATACCATAGACTAAGATATCATTCTAATCCATGAAAGAAATGTTCAAATATCAGGTCCCTATTTTACAGTGATTCTGTTTTCCCTCAAAAAATAAACAAGACATGACTCATTTATTAAGGCTCACATGCTTTCACTGGAAATTCCTCGTCAGGCTTGAGATTAATGTCTCTTTTACTATTCCCATATTCTTTTAGTCAGCAAGGTTTCTAGCCATTGGCAAAAGAGCCTGTCCCTACATTCTCATAGTAGCACATGTGGGTAGGAAGGAATGTAACCCTAGAAGTTGTACTAGGATTGAAGTTACTGCTATTAGATTCAGCCGCCTTCAGCCTCACCCCTGAGCTTCTCAAGACTTTTCTAATTCTTTCATGCAAATAGGTTCTGAGAATATTATTTATTTTTTTCTTTCCTTTTTTTATGGTGCTGGGGCTCAAACCCAGGGGCTTGTGCGTGCTAAGCAAACACTCTACCATTGAGATACATCACTGGAATATTTAAATGTTCCCTGTGATCCAGTAGATCTGGGAGAGGAGCCTGAGAATTTGCATTTCTAACAAGTTCCCAAGTGATTTTGATGCTGCTCATCCATAGGCCACACTGTCTCTGAATTGCTGAGCTGTCATTGTGTCCCTCCTTCAAACACACCCTGCCTTGGGGAAGGAGTAGTTTATGTGACCAGGGAACCTATCAACCTGGAGCCCATGTCCTTCCTTCTAAGACACACTCTGGGTACCAAGACCCCAGAATTTTCTTTTGAGACAAAAGCCCTGTGAAGCATCTCTTGATATACACTGCTCTCTTTCTGCCACACACCTCTTTATACACTTTTTCAGATGGCCACACGGCCTATGACAATACATGTGCTTTGGGGGTCCCACAAATTTTAGCTCAAATCCCGCTTTAACTTCCCTGTGACTTTGAGCGGTTGGTTCATCTTTTGGCTCTCACTTTCTTCATCTTTAAACTGAGAATAAAAATCAGAATGCGCCCCCACTCTCTTTCACCTCCTCCCTATGACCATCCAATTTCATTTTAGTCTTCCTTCAGCTTTTAGCTCAAATGCCCTCTTCTTAGATGCAAACAGGTGCTTGTGTCTAACCAGGAAGTAACTTTTCATCTGTCCGTGGTGTGTGTGTGTGTGTGTGTGTGTGTGTGTGTGTGTGTGTGGATTGATGTCTTGCTAGCTCACTGCATTCTGAGGAGGGATCAAGCCTCCTTAGTACTCTGTGCCACTTTCATCTGGCACAGACTCTGGTACCTGGTAGTAGTGCAAGTAATAATAAGCCCGTGGTTATTGTCACAATTAAAAATAAAAATAAGTGACTGGCACCCAGCAGGTGATTAAGAAACAATGTTGAGTTTCTTCAGTACAAGTCATACTGGAAGTAGATATTTAATTTTGTTTCCTCATACTTGATACGTGGAGAACGGGGTGAATCTGGGACAACTACAATTTGAACTGTCCAAGTCAGGAAAAAAACGTGGTGTGATAAGCAGCTGGCCTGAGCCACTTGGAAGCATAATACACTTTTTAGAGATTTAAGAAATAAAATATCCGTAGTTTGAAACAAGAAAAAGTTGTGTTTCCTGGTTTTGCTTGTCCCCCACCCCCATCACTCATACCTCAAATTAGGCATCTGCTTTAAAAGCCTGTGGTGGAAGTGAGTCCCTAACCAAGTGTTTACACTTATTGCCAGGCGCCTCCCCCTATCTTTTCACGACTTGGGGGTTATTTTAATAATTCCTTTAATATCATCCAACCCGAATATTCTCTTGTGAAATATTTCTGGGGCCTGTAGTTGAAGAAAGAAATGATTTTCTCAAATCTGTGAACAGGACACATTTTTTAATGTCAAAATAAACCATCTGCTTGTACAACTGTTTCTAATTACTTCCCTGCCTAGACGCTCCACTCGAGGGGTTTGGCACCAGCACCCCGCCCAGAGCAGCGCCGCTGCCCAAATCCTTGCAGGCTGCTCATCCACGCAATTGCGACTTCGGCAGGAGCCCGGGACCTGCAATCCCGGGTGTCCGTGGGTCCGTCTGCCTGGCCATCTGCTGGTGGCTCCCTCTCCCTCCTGCCGCCTCCTCAGACCCCCACCTTGCAGAAGTGCAGCTGCCCTGAGGGAGCTCAGCATGCATCCTCCGGGCATCAGGAACTTCTTGCTGCTGGTGTCCTCCCTTCTCTTCGCTGGGTTGTCAGCTGTTCCCCAGAGCTTCTCCCCATCTCTGAGGTAAGTTGGATGTGTTACTGTTTGAGACGGACCTGCATTGCTTTGTGTGGATGGCTGTCCTAAGCCAAGAGCAGTTACCAAGTTGGACATGGGATAAACTGTTTTCAACCGGTGCCTCTTCTTTTCCCCATTATCTACTCTGGGTACGGCTTCATGTCTGTTCTTTTCGCTGTTTCTTTGGAAAAAATAAAATCATGGAATAAAAATGTCATTTCTCCTTCTGCAAATACATATCAGGAGGAGTTTCTGCCAGAAGTTAAGATGTATTTATGGATCCTGTATCATCCCCTAGCTTATGAGGCAGTGTTATTTCTGTTTCCCAAGAGAAGCTACCTGGAATCTGCATTGCTTTTGCATTACATTCTCAAAGAGACATTGAGGTGTACCGCAGCTGCTAAGCTCAACTTTTTAAAAAGTAGAGTCAGGAGACTGCTTAATGCAAATTTAAAAAACGTTGTGCCTTATGCTATCAAGTATGCTTAACTTTGCCCTATTAAGGACAGAGAGTAGAACAGGCGTGAGGATTAGCCGGGTAGCTTGTCATTTAACCCTTGTCGACAATACTAACCACAAACAACGGATAGAAAAGGCCTAAACGTGACTGAGATGAAGAAGTCCAAAAGCGCGGGCGTCGCATCGATATCAAGGATACTGCCAGGGATGCGCACTTGGCACTAAATGGGCAGCGGAGGCACCTAGTCTTAACCAGTATCGATGAAGCTATGGCGACCTAGCAGTACGGCGATTTTATACAAGCGGTGGCGGCAATAATCAATTATACAGTACCAAACATCGGGCAGAAGTGCAGTTTAACTATTTGCTCTTTTACAGTACTAGAGCACTTCCCTCTTACCTTCAGATAGTAGTAGGAGAGTGAGAGAGAGAGAGAGAGAGAGAGAGAGAGAGAGAGAGAGAGAGAGAGAGAAGAAAAAGAGAGGGAGAGAGAAGAAACTGAGTCAAGTACCTTATGTTGGATTAATTTGCATTTAATCTACATGTGCATTTAAGACTCAGTGACAATCCCCCAAGGGGCAGGGCTGGGTTGTCTCAGTCCACTTGGAAGAAGGTCGTGGGCACTTCTCAAGTGAGTGGTATCTGCCTGTTTGGGAAAAACACAGCATTTCCTGGGAGCATTTTGGTCCCCAGAGATCTGTGACGCCGCAGGCTTCCTATCCATGGGCGGCTGGACACCGGGGAGTACACGGGGCCCCAGGAAGGAAAGGGCAGTGTGTCTGTCTGTGTCTGACTGGCTTGGATGCTGTCTTTGTCGCCCCACGCAGAAGCTGGTCAGGCGCCCCCTGCAGGCTGTCCCGGGCCGAGTCGGAGCGCAGGTGCCGCGCACCTGGGCAGCCCCCAGGGGGCGCCCTATGCCACGGCCGGGGTCGGTGCGACTGCGGGGTTTGCATCTGTCACGTGACGGAGCCGGGCACCTACTTCGGGCCCCTGTGTGAGTGCCACGAGTGGGTGTGCGAGACCTACGACGGGAACACCTGCGCAGGTAAGGCGGCGGCGCTGTCTGTCCCTTGTGGGATTTCTGCTGCTTTCTAGGACCGTGATGGGCGGGGATGCACCTGCCCTCAGGTAAATGGCAAGGAAGTTATTGCAGGTCTCAGGTGTCAGTGCCTTTGCTAGTCAATACTGGCATCACCTATCACGATACTTCTTCCTCCCCTGGGGTCCAAACTTAAGTGGAAATAATCTTTGTAAGATTCATTCACTTAGTTCTAATCCTCTTGCCTCTCTGCTGCTTATCACACACTAAATCCTCCAACGTCCTCACAAATGGACTCATTTTGCTGAGCTCACCTACCCTTCATCAAGAATGTTAACCATAATATTTGTTTTATTTTCACTTAGCCAACAGAGGGGGACCCAGTTTTCCTCGATCCCAGTGGGGCAGATCCTAATGTGTTTTTGAACTCTGATTTTCCCTTTCATGCACAGGGTGCAGCTCACGGAGAAGGGTGCACATCAGAAAAATGGTGGCAGAAGAAAAAGTAGGCGCCTATTTACTTAGAAGCAATAGTTTGTGTATTGTTTTAGCTGCCTGAATTTTTGAGCTGTGGTGAAAGTTGGTATTTTTTAAGGGTGGAGTGAAAAAATCATTTGTTTCCCTTGCACATTTTTAAGAAGTGATTCAAGTTCTGATATTGGAAACTGTCAGGAAATTTCTTGGTAGAGAAGCTTTAACCTCTTTACCAGTTTCATGTAAATGTGTCATTCAGTCCAGGCCAACAGCCTCAGTTAGCTCATTGTGACCCGTACAGAAACTCTGTTAGTAAAACCACAACATAGTGCATTCCAAGTAGGGGTTTGGCAAATTAGTAGGGAAAAAATAGCAACTTACTTTACCCTTGATAGAGCTAAGACTAAAATGTCCAAGACTAACACAGAGAGATCAGAAGTAAGTTTATAGTAAAATGTTTTTCCTTGGCACCTGGGCCCAGGAGTACACTGTAAGAGTTTGCAGACTGTTTGGCAGTGGGGAAAAAAAGTATCCCTACAAGTAATCAGAGGGGCACAGGTGTGCCTGTCTACCTGGTTGTTTTGGGAAGCCCTGCAAAGACTGCTGCCCCTTCCTATAGATGCCACAACTTGTGATTTTAATGTCATCAGCTCCACAAAGCTACAGAATTATTAAGGTTAACTCCTTGGAATGAAAGCTAAACTTCATCTAATTCTTCATACCAAATGCAACTATTAGCCAGCCTCTGTGGATTTTCTTGCCTTTGGCAAGGCCTCTTTAATATTGTGAGTTTTGAACATAATTTCTAGGGCTTTTTGTACTGTTGTTTCATTAGAAAAGAAAGCAGCGGGATGCAGCCTTTAGAGGGAAAAGCTAGAGCTGGATGGCTGAGTGCCGCCTGATCAGCAGCCTTGCGGAGGACCGAGGACCTGAGGGCGCTTTGCTGGGAAACTGTGCAGAGGAATGCAGTGGGATCTGGAGACTTTTCTCCTCCCATGGAAAGGGATTTGTTGTTTACTCATAACATTTTAGTCACTACATTCCTTCCTTCCTAATAGTGAATGCTGTACTGAGTCATAACTGGTTATGTTTGGTTGCTTGAATTTCTATATAGGGCAAAATGCTTCTTGCAAGTTCAACTTTGAGTGAAATACTTGTGTTCATTTGCCATTCTCACTTTGCCCATTGATGCCTGTTGAGGCTTCTCTGTGGGGTCTTGTGCAGAATCTGCCCCTGTGAGTACTCTGACCATGTTTGCCAGGCCTGGAAGAGATCCTTACACACAGACTATAGGCTGCCCTGCCAGTTGGCTGGCTTGTTCTGCACTTCAGATTTAGTGTCTCCATGCCATTTTCAAGAAAGAGTTCCAATTTCACAACTAGTATAGACACATAGATGCTTTTCTGTTTTGATATACACCCGGGCCTTTGTTTCTAATAAGTCCCTGTAGGTCTCTTCCAGAAGTAGAGTAACTTCCAGAGATCTCTCTGCCTCCATGAAGAGAACTGAGTCCTGATTGGTAGTATGTAATAAACTGCTTAAATGTATGGAAGTTAAGGCAAAATTTGCAGGATTCAAATCCAGTCACTCCAGCTGTGTTAACTTGAGCAGTTACTTAAACATCTGGAGCCTTGATTTCTTTATCTGTACAATGGGAATATTAACAGTAACTACTTTGTTTACCATAGAATAATGGGAGACACAAAGCTAGTGCTCACTATTAATGCATGCATGTATAAGATAACATCATCATAGAGATGCACAAAGGCTGGACTGTATGCATGGGTAGATGGATGGACAGATGGATAGAGAGATAAATAAATAGAACTATAGATAGCCTTGTGCTTATTGAGAATTTTGATGTAAGGACAACAGTTTACTTTTCTGCATGTAATCTGGACCTGTTACTGATTTAAGACCCAAAAGGTCAAGCAAGGACAGTTATTTTGGCCCAGCCTGAGAGCAGCTGTATTAGATATGCTGTACCCTTTTAGAGTGTAAGCTTTTGGGATTCTTATACTATGAATCATAAAGAACATACTTACTTATTTTGAGCTGGTAGAAGGTGATTGTGTTTGTATTAAAAAAAGTTCATGTCCACTGTTCATGGCACATGAATCTTCCATCCACTGCTATAGAACAAAGGTCTGTTCCTGTGGTTGTGATGTTCTGTTAAGAAATAAGCTCATTTTGGTGAAGTATGTCTTTGAGAACACAACATGTTTCATTGCATGAAAATAAGCTTTTAGTTGGTATTTCCAAAGCACCTCTGGGTAACCCAAGGAACAGCTATGATTATACTTAAATAAAATGCTGATTTCTTAAAAGTCTTTTCAAATTGCTTTTGAAATATGTCACTTCAAAGATTTCAGTTTTAGTAATCAGGAATGGCTAATTGAATTCAATTTGGCAAAACTTATGAAGTACTGCGCATTTGGTAGGCTCTCTGCTGTGTAAGGGGATGGGAAGATGTGACAACTTGACAGCTCACTATTGAGGAGGGAGCCAAAGGAAAATACCAAGAATCTATACTATAGTGCAGGATATAATTCCTTTGCATTTCTAGGAGGATTCAATTGAGGCAGGATTAAATAACATGATTTAAAGTTCTTTAAAAAGGGGTAGTGACTTAAAACCTTAAGGATAAGGCAGTTTTTAATCCGAAAGGTGGACTGTTGGAATTCTAAGTAAAGGTTTCAGGGCAGGAAAGCGTGGCACACTGGGGAGTACAGAAGGTCATGGAGTTAGCTTAACTACATCTTAGTGCTATGGAGAAAGTAGGAGAAGATCTGTCAAGATTTAAAGTTGAACATATTATGAAAAGTCTTGAACTTGAATGCAAAGTTTGTGTTCCCTTAAGCAGCACCTAGCAGCTATTGAGGTCTTGAATATAGATTGATGGTTTGTGCTCTGATTCCTGAGAAGTCATACGGTGCCCAAGGGCATGGCAGGCTGGAGTTAGACCTTGATGGGGAAGAGCTCATTTTAGGTCCTGTGTACATTTATACTCCAGCAAAGAGAGAGCAGCACAGAATTAAAATGGATTTTAAAAGGTGTTTGAAAGTAGAATCAATATGACATCATACCCAAGGATGAGTAAGATGAATTGAAATTGATGCTGAATTTATTGGCCTGAGTAACTAGGAGTGTGATAGGATCAATGGAATAAAGCCAGGAGAAAGGGCTAAACACCCCCTAATCAATGACTTACAATCCTTAATCAAGAATACATATGCGTACCTAGAATTGTAAAATGAAGAATTATTACTAGCTGAGTCTGATTCTGTACTTTATTGATCAACACATCTTGGCTGGATCAGAATCTTGTCTGAAGTGTTAATTTGGGTTAACTTGCTTGTGTTATTAACCTTGAGTCAGCTGTTTGATTTTTCTGAAATGTAATGTCTTTTTTTGGAACAACACCCTTATTGATATGAGAAGCCTTATATAATGTATGTATTCAGGGAAATTTCTATATTTATGTACAAATATATTTAAGATTCATATGATTTATACATTTATTCAGATGATGTGTAAAACATTCTTATAAGTATTGGTTTGTATGCTTAAATAAGCAGTATAAATACATTGAAGTACCCCTAATGTATAAATAGGAGTCTTTTTTCCTAGCAGTTATTTCTGACTGCTACGCTGTTAAGTAACTGGCATGGAAATGAAGAGTCATGGCACTGAACTTTCTAACTCTTCATGGCCTGTCTGAACACTTTTAGACCTTCTTTTCCCCTTGGTTCCATTTTCTCTTAGATGATCGAGTAATTTCCTTCCAATGATTATTTGGTTTTTCCTTTCTTAGTCATTTTCTATTTTCTTTTCTTCATTTCTTTCTAATCCTGCCTTATTTACCAACTCTTTTGCCTCTGTATAGACCCCCTTGGGTTCAGCCTCTTTCCTTCTGCCACCCCCATTCCGTGTCCCTAAGGGCAGAGGCATGGAGCACTTCTCTCTCCTCAAGTAAAGCAGTGCATTGGCCAGACACTTGTTCCACTTTGCCTTCTTTTATTTCCTATTTGTCATAGTTTTAGCATTGCTTGGTGTTTTGGAAAACACATTCAGGAGTTTTTCACCAATAGGTCTTGAACCTCTTTGGGGGTTTTACCCTCTTAGATACATATATTTTGGATAAATGCATCTGTCTCACCCTAGCAATACATAAAAGTTAAAGTTTTCATTGTAAAAGGAAATGCAAGACACCACACCATTTTTTTTCAGTTTTATTGGTAAAGGTGGGCACCTCTCTGCAGCTCTATCTTGGAGAACCCAGCACCTTCACCTTGATCATCCATGGCAATTGACATTTTATAACATTATGGTGTTTAGATCAAATGGTATTAAGGTGACACTTTCAGCTGTTAGTTTTTAGATAAATTTTTCACAAAATATATGGAAACAAACTTATTTGTGTGGCATCTTTTAAATTTGCAAAGCTTGTACCTCCTTCATAGATTTCTAAAAAGTCTTCAATATATTTTGGGACATGATGCCAAAACTGATACCTCATGTCTCTTGTATCA